CTGTGTCTGCTAAGTGGGCATGAGGCCTACTCTACTGCCAAGAAAACCTCTTCAAAGTGGTGGGGGCCTTGTTGTGATTAGCAGGGCCGACTCCCTGGAAACACAAGCCTTTCTAAAGCGGGAATCCTTTGGAGACATGTGGCTTACTGGCTGCTGAGGCTCTGGAACTAATCCCTGGCAGGAGCAAAACGCTTCCACAGGATACTGTCCCATTTCCAAGTGAGACAGGGAAAGAGGGAAAGCGAAATCCCAGCAGTGTCTGAAGTCCTAGGAATCCTAATCCTCCCATATAAACTCCCAGTTTTCCATTGATATGAACTGACAGCTCTGTCCAAAAAATAGGAGTTCGCCATTCCTCTACCCTTATAATTTCTGCTAATTAAGCAACAGTACCAGTACATTCCACAAACATCTTCCCCAGACTGAGAGACCGAGACATTAGTCTACAATTTTCAAGATTATCCTCCTTAAGGGGAAGAAAAACGCGACGTTTCTTGTGTTTTCTGTATACTGTATTAACTCTAGGGTGGCATGCTGGGGCTGTGGTTAGCATTGCTGCCTCACAGTGCTGGGGCCCTGGGTTCAATTCGGGACCTGGGGTGCTCTCTGCGTGGGGATTGTATGTTTTTCCTTTGCTCTCGTCGGTTGCCTCTTGGTGTTCCGGTTTCCTCCCACAGTCCAAAGATACTGGTAGGTTTTTTGGTTTCTGGGAAAATTTGTTTGTTTATGTCTATGTGTGTTCTGAAATAGGCTGGTGTCCTGTCCAGGGTGCACCCTACCTTGCTCCCATTGCTTGCTGGGATAGGCTACAGCTCTCACGCGACCCTGTATTAGATAAAGCGGTTAAAAAACCGGAAAGGATGTATTAACTCTTTAAATTGCAAATCATGTTTTTGAAGATGATCTGCTGTCACATTTTCTGTAGATATGAATGGATTCAGCGCCAATGGAACAGAAACGGAATTCTAAGAAACACGATTTCTCGTGGCTGATGAAAGTAATCTTTTCAAATGTGGCCCAAAATGCCTTCAAATTAATGGTTGTAACCTGTATAACGTCACTTGCTCTGTCATGCCTTGCTTAGCTCATATTTCTGTACGCAATCCTAAATTTTACTGACCAGAACGTCATGAAGGAAAGTAATTTATTTTAGTATGCATAGATCACGTTGTGTAAGCTGTAGTTTAAGTACTGGTTTCTTGGTCATGGGAAACTTTCCAAATTTGCATTGATTCCACTTATGTGAATCAAATTTCCCTGTGGTAATGAGTAACTGAAATTGTATTATTTTAAAGAAAACTAGGAGGAACACAATCTAAATATTAGGGTAGTGAATCTGTGCACTCACAATATAACTTCCTGTAAAGCAATTCTAATTGCAACAGAGACATGGAGCAATATCAAAGGACTGGAGCAGCTGTAGGAGCCCTCTGCCAATGATTACCAATTAAATTTTTGAAAAACAGTCCCTGATATTAACACTTCTGGAATTGAGGTGCTTACATAAAAATGCATAACTGAAGTTCATGGGTGTTAAACCACAAATGTGTTCTCAATCATCTTATTTTCCCAAGCAAAGCATTGCAATGTAGCTCTGTAAATTCACAAATCCTTTGGCTTTCTACAGACTTATCTTGTGTGTTTTATTTTTGGTAAGAGGTATGTTCTTTGTCAATTTTTCATTAGTGAATGAAGACTTTTATTAGTTTTATTAGATTTTATTAGTTTCATTATTTTATCGTTAGAGGAAAAAGCCTTAGCAGTCATAAGTATTTAGGAGTGTCTCTAGGAATGACTACAGACATGAGAGATAAAATGAAGGTAAAAAAATTAAACCCCCATGACACGGCCAAAAAAGTAACCTTTACATGTATATGTGAAAATCTTTTGCAAAAAATCTGCTGACCTGAAGGAAGATTCTCAGTTAGGCACTACTTTTATTCTTTTCTCCTGAAACTAAATGAAAAGTGTGAAACCCACAAAGACAAATCCACCATTCATTTATTTAATAGCCACTATAAGAGTAGGTAATTCAAAACCAATAACCTTTCTAAGACTTTCAGACAAAAAAAATACAAAACACAATTTGTGGTGGTTGTGCAAATTTCTGTAATGAAAACTCAGGGGTCTCCTCTCCTGGTTTGTGATGGCTGCTGTCCAGAATCTATAGAGGTCTTTAAACCAACACCTGCTTAAGACCTGGGAAAAAGTGTTGAATTGTTCCAATGGGTTAGAACATAAGAAATGACCTTGAATACCAGAGTCTGAGACCCCTGGCCTCAGATCTTTCTATAATAATAAGATTAGTCTATATTGTAGTATTTACAGGTATGTTTAGCAGAATTTACTCAAGGATTTTGGAATAGCTACTTGATGGATTGCGAAGTGTGAAGTGTTTTTTTCAGCATTTCATACTTGTTAATATTTTAATTGAGCTGACAGATGAATCCATGACAGTTTTTCCCCTAAACATGAACTGTGATAAAGTCCTACATCTGTTCGCAAGCATGTTACACTGGAAAAAAAAACAAAGCAAAACAAAACATGGATTGTTAGCTTTTCATGTATCAGATGAATGCAGCATAGTGACAGTCGTTTGTCTGACGTCTTCAAATATTTGAGTCCATCTATCAATTTTTAAACTGCTTTATCCAATACAGGGTTGTGAGGGAGCTGGAACCTAACCTGGCAACCCAACAGGCACATGGCAGGATACAGCCTGGGCAGGACACCAGTCTGTCACAGGACACACATAGACCTCAGGGCCAGTATTCCCAGAAGTCAATTACCCTACCTTGTCTTGTCTACTGTGGGAGAAAACTGGACCACCCAGAGGAATCCCACACAAGCACAAGGAAAATGTACACACTCCACACAGATAACACCCCAGGAACTGAGCCCAGGGCCCCAGCGCTGTGCAGCGGAAACGCTAACCAGTGTGCCGCTGTGCTGCCCAATATTTGAGTCTTCAAACTTAAAAAACATCTTTCTAAACTCTGTGAGACTATTGTAATTGATGGTGTTTTGTTTTTCCTTGCTTGAAAATTCACATATAATTTTAAATTCACAAGGTGTTCCCTGACAGAAATGTTTAATTGCTTTCTTAGTTACTTGCCCTTCAGGCGATGGCACATTCTATTTATAAACAAATTTTAGAAGCTGTCTGAGGTGTTTTCTGGCATGTAAGATTTTTTTTTTCCTCTGAAAACTCAAGTCAGACATATGCTTTAAATAAATTATTTCATACAACTTGATGTTTAACCTCTTGGCTCTATAAGTAAAACCTCCCAGAAGGTTCCTTTATTGCAGCACAGCTTTCTGAGCACCATAATTTTGGACTTTTGTGTGTGTGGAGCTAAGGTTGGGAAAAAAAACAGGCTCTCTTTGAAGAACCTTTCTTAATAATACTGTTCCAGAATTGTAAACTGCAATTAAAGCTGCATCTGAAGTCAATCAAATGAGTTCTCAGTTTTTCCACTTCTTTTGACTCTGTTGCATAATATTAAAAACATCTATGTTTCTTGAAACTTAAATACTGAACGCTAGGAGAAAGCTTTCTGTTCTCTTGTTTGAGTGATTACTCCACACTCTTTCAAGTGTAATAAAGTCTTTACCAATTATTATCACTACCATCTAGCGCCTTGGGATACCTTATAGTAAGAGATATGATGACCATACTTATATATAGTTTTATATTAAATGCTGTTATGTTACAGTATTTACTTTTGCTGTCACTGTATTATTTTAGCTGTGCTTTTAAAAAATAAGACACTCTGTAATTTCACCTCTGTCTCTGATATATTTCCAACTAAACTATGTTGGGTCATAACTTGGTAGAATCCAAGAGTCATAGACATTTCAGTTTTTCAAATTAGCTGTCATTTGCTTAATTATTTTTCATTTTCTCGAACTACAGTACCTTGTAGACAACAGCCATTATAAGAGGCTCATGTGTTTTCAGTTCAGCCTGGAGACTCTGAACTAACAACTATAATAATGAAGGAATAGTCACATTTATCTTTCTCTTCTCAGTATAAGACAGTAAAGCAAAAATGTCATTTAGTCAAGATTCAGTACGCCATGCTCACAGAAGACTTTGAAGAAGTGTGTCTGACACTGACTGCTGATTCAAGTAGCCTAAAACTGAGGGGAGCTAGGTTAAATAAAGACCAGTAACATGAGGTCTGTGAATTGACAAATTTGATTGTGGTCCCACTAAGCAGGAAGCAATGTGGAATTAATTATGAATCAGGAAAGCTATAACAGAGCAGGGTGAAAGAGCTGCCTGTTGAAAGGGGCTCATTGTCCCAAGCAGCTCTTAATCAACTGGCCTAAGCATTTATGATGTCTGCAACCTCCCCAAAACAGTCACAAATTATAGAAGATGTTGTCAGTTCCAGAGATACAGCTGGTTTGGCATTGAACCAGCTGCCAAAGTGCAACAAAAAATACAATGCAGAAATTTTGGGAGAGTGCACAATCACTCAAATACAATTTTATTAAAGAATGCTCTTAACAGAAATCCATTAAGCCACCCATTTTTAGAGTTTTTGAGGACGTTGCATACTGTTTTAATGTAGTCGCATTGACAGCATTTTGTTTCATGATAAAAGCACACCTGAGCTTTTCTTTAGTCTTGTGTGTTTATTATTATTATGAGGTAACACTGGCTGGGCTGGAGATCCAATCAAAAAGAAAAAACAGTCAATTACAGAAAACTACACTGGGAGGAACAGGAGAATCCATCACTTCAAACATCAAACCTGCTTCTCTTAATGACTGATATTCTGTGCAGCCAGTCACTTGTGTTTTGGTGGATAGATGTTCTTTCCATGTGTTTTACCTCAAATGTCTGTAATTGTTCCAAAAGAAACTGGTGCAGAAAACAAACTCAGAATCATATTTTGATGGCATTCTGTACTTGGAAAGAAAATATTAAGGAAATATGGTATTCCAATGACAAACACAACAAGAATGAGTTAGAAAACATGGTTGTTTTTTATTATTAATGAGAATATAATGTATTAATCATTACTAAGTATTGTTTATTCAATTATTTTACAACATACAGAAAATCTCTTCCAACATTTTTTTAAGATCAACAACTAAATTAAAAAAAACAAACTTTATGATGAGTTAGCCTTATTATCACTTGTGTGATCACTGGCCTTGTGATTGTACAATAAGCTCTAATGGTGTTGCCTTTTTTAAAATAACACTCCTTTTAACAATCTTGTTGATACTTTTCTTTGGAAATAAAAAGCTACTGCGTGGTAAATTTATATTGTGCTGTTTTTCAGCAATTCCATGTTTCCTAGGCGGACATGTCATGAAAACCTGAAGCTTAGATTCATGTTACATTGAACACATAGTTTTGCTTCAATTAATTAACCTGTATCAAGGTCTACAGTGTGCATGTGAGTTACTGTAGTAATGCACCATGTATTATTTAGAATTCCAACCATAGAGGAAGTACAGTACAATATGTCTCATGCTGTTAAACCTGCATGACTTTTGTTATAATAAGAGAACAAGAACAAAGAATAAAATTGACTATATACATCTTAGAATGATCAAGATAATCTGAAACAATTACAGGATTATGATTAGTTCTTAACATGGCAGTCATAAATTATCTTAAAGTTATTTTTTCCTGGTAGGGAAAAGCTTGGACTACACTCCGGATGGGACACTTGTCCACACACCTACACACTAATAGATGTAACAATAAATGTAGAGACACAAAGTGAAAAAGGCAGTATGTCCATGTGAGGTGGGAGAAACCTGTAGCACCTGACACAAATCCACATAAACATGAAGGAAACATGCAATCTCCACACATAAGTCAGCCCAGTCCAAAATTAAACCCAGAACCCAAGCGCTCACATGCCCTTAACTGCAGTTATTGTACTGTTTACAATAGAAATGTATATTAAAAAAACTCTAGCAATTCTTTTAGTTCTTTAAATTTTCTTAAAACGAGAAGAAATGAGATGCAGTCTTTAAAGTGATTATCTTTGGAATTCAACACTCATTAAATGGCCCCAGGTTCCACTTTAAGTACATTTCCCAATTGTGTTGTGTCGTTTGTGTGCATAAATGCAATAGAATACTGAATTACATGTTTGTAGTAGGACATTTTAGAGCAGATGGTTTGAATAAAACACATGTAACCCTTTTGATAGCACTTCCTTTTCAACTGAATTGTATTCTCATTTAGACTGAAGTAAATAAAAAAATGGCTGCAGATTAACTTTTCAACATAACAGAAACACGTTCTCAAGTAGAACAAATCATCCACAGTCTCATTGTGTCAATATAGTTTTAGCAGGGGAATTTTCTTAGCTCCAAACAATTCTGAAAGTAATTTTGAAAGTTTGAAGATATCTGTCAAGCCAATACTGTATAAGTGTGGAAAATTAAATTAATGTTTTTCACTCAAACATCTTTTGGGGATTTAAAATTGATTCATTATAAAAATGAAGCAAATTTGGTCCCACAACTTTAATGCTTTTAAAGTGGTCTGGACTGCTATACAGTACATCCACAAAGCTCTACATTCCAGCTATGATAAAGCTGATAAAACATCCCCACAGGCAATAACATTTAGACAGAGAAGTCCTCCTTACTGCCTTTTGCCAACAAGCTGCAAGACCACCTCCTCCAGTAGGACCTGATGCACATCAGGACCAGCAGTCTAAATGCCTTATGCCACACATGCTGTTTGGGAAAAAAAAAAACTGTTTTAATTTCCTGCGAGGAGGGCAGCCAACTCCAATAATGAAACTGCTCACTTCTTTTTAAGCACACATGAAATGGGGAAAAAAATAACTTAAAAAAAATAAAGTTTTTTCTGAGATACAGAAGTACATTATTTTTGGCTTGTCAAAAGTGATATTCTCTTTAAGATGTTTACAGTTGAATTGCGCAGTCTATAAAATTCGGATTTCTCTAAAAATAGCAATACAAGATTTCATGCAAATATCTACAGTACATCTTGTAGACCCTTTACATAAACCTTTGGTAATATGGCAAGTCTGGTAATCAGGTGAACCATTACAATATGTATAATTAAGTTCCTTACATAGTGAGGCAGTCTGAAATCACATGAAGACAAACATTTTAATAAAGAAAATTCTATACTGAAGTGCTTGTGTTCAAACTGCATCATAGAAGAGCATTATTAGGTAGTGTGATTGTAAGTATACTAATATATACAGTATACCAGTTTGATTTCTTTAATGTTCAGAGCTCTTTTATAAACCCAAAGGTTTGTACAAACATGCCATTTGTGATGGAAAAAAGATGTCTTTATGTAAGGGTGTGTTTCATAATGACATGCTCTTATGAAATTACTGGGGACTCCCCTCACATGTGGTTTAAGATTTTGGCAATACTGAAAATTGCTTGACGTGATCAGTCACATTAACCGATTACTAAAACTAACTGTAACAATTTATATATAGCAAAGAAAGACGAACAAGAGCTCTGCTTACTCATAAGTGACTCTTCGCTGCCAGTTTGAAAGAGTGCATTTGTAACCCAATAAGGTGTCTCAGGACCAAATTTTACATACTTGTGAAATTAACCTTCAAAAGGGACTACGGGGACAACAAAAGAAAATAGTCCCATCCTTGAACAGTGCTGATTCATTATGACATGTATTTATAGTCTGCATGTGCTATGCCAATTCACTTGTGTGTTTGTAACACATTTTGCAATTTGTTTATTACTGTTATATCATTTTATATATGAAAAACACACAAAAATAAAACAAATGTATCTACCTTGGGTCATGCATCTGAACAAGAATATGTCGGACCGTCTTTCTAACTTCATACCTGCTGTTTACAAATGGACTGACTGTTAAAATTCCCAATATTTTTTTTTTACTTTAGTATAAAAAGTCACTTGCGATCGTGTCAACAACTGTATTTGTCAACAACATGATATTTTCTGATTAACCTAATAATGCGTACGATACAAATGTAAACCTATAACCGTGAAAGAGCATCCAAAAAATACATATCTGACAATGTAAATGAAGTTCCGGACCATTAAGTGTTGAAAAGATGTTTCCTGGAGGCAATGGTTTGGAAAAACTCTGCTCCCATAATCTGCTGAAAGGACAAATGACAGAAGCAGTGTTCCACCAACATTCCACTTCAGTACTTAAATCACCCTTCAGACACTCCAGCATCCTGAATGATGCATAGAGTAGACTAAGCAGTAAAAGACACCAAGACGCCTTTGTCCTCTGGGATTTATCTTGATTTTGGGATCCGTGTATTAAGAGGCAGAACTCCGGTTCCTGCTGAACTGAGCCAGTGCTCAATAAATCAACTGTAATCAGCTCAGTAGGCACTGGAGATGGAGCCCATTTGCTTGCTTCCTCTGGCCTGGTACTGAGAAATGGTATCTAGCAAGAATGAAACCACTTTCAGTGATTGACACCTCCAGCATTTTCATTCTGTAGACAGTGATATTTTGAATGGGAGACTGCAATCTCACACTTTTAGGGATTTATGAAAAGACTAGCTCCTGTTTTTAAATTCTCCTGTTAAACTAATAATGTAATTGTGCGCAAGTAAAAAAAACAACTTTAAACAACCTAAAACATGAAGAGTGCAAAATACTGAATAAAGCAGCAAAATATACATTGATCCAGTGCACCTGTCAGGATCCTTTGAATGAGAACGGTTTTACTGTTTGCCTCTAGGAAGGTTAAAAAGGAACATTTATCAAAGCAAGTGGCAGTTTAATCTTTCTGCAAGCACAAAGGGAATGTAGCATATTGTTCATATCAATTCTAATATATTTTGATTGTTCTTGCTCAGGGCAGAAGTGTACGTTGAAGCAGATAATGCTGTATACAAAAAAAGTGCACTAAAGGTGTCTATTGTGTTTGGTATTTGCAGACTGCAGTAAATAAAAAGGCAGTGAAAGGGTTCTAATACACTCCAAGTGTCAATTCATATGAACAATAAGGCCAATGCTGGAAGCTTTCAGTCCTTTGACAAATAATGTTGACATTGTACTGCCCCGACACAGAAAAGAGTTATTAATGAGCGATAAAACAGTGCACTGATAGGAAGTATCGTGGGCTGAGAGAACCCCATTATCTGTTAACAACACCACTCCTCACTTCCCATACAAATAGTGATTATTCTTTTAAAAGAAAAATGGTATGTCTCTTACAAATGACTTATACAGTAAGTAGGATACAAGGTTACTGGAAGTGTCAAGATAATCTGCTATCACTGGGAATCATGGTTTTAACCATTAGAATATACTGCAGTTTTTGTAGCAGTCATTTGAATTAAGAGTGTTGAAAGCTTATTAACTATTACAGCATTGCCATTACATTAACCTACCATTTACGTAATGAGTGCCAACTAATTTGCATTTTTTAAACAAAATTATCCAAACTATACAACTATCACTGGAATGTTTACATGAAGGATGTGTTATGTACTGTGAATATAAAACCAGTTATACATAAGTGTGGTTTAATTATAATGTGAATGTCCTGGATTCTGATTTTATACCTAATGATGATACAGCTGATAATGTAGTAATAATATTAGTTTTGTACATGCAATGATTTTCTGATACAGTATTTTGATCTGCACCATCTTAGTTCTCAGCATTTGAAGAGATATAAAATAAACAGAGTGAAAAATAATTCACCAGTTCTGCCATTTCTCTTTACATTTTTCATTTATTAAATTCATGAATCGAATCCACTTGAAATTAGAAAAGTTATATTTTTTTAACAAACTTACACAACTGTATGTCTTTAAATGTTTGCACTTTAATTCATTTTCAAATGTATTTCTTCTAATAGCCTTTGCTACTGTATGTCTATCCATGTATTGAATGATAAAGTCTGCCTCCTTCATTGCATTTACTAAGTTTTAAAGTGCTCATCTGCTAAACAACATACATCACCTGAATGGGTTTTGACTGATGGTAGATGGGTCATCTGAAGCCATCACTCACTGAGTAATGGAGGCAGACGTCAGTGTATTTAAAGGTCTTTGTTCCATTGTCTCATCAAGGGAATCTGCAATTCAGAGAAGAGGAAGGGAAATTTGTGACATGACTAAGTACTTACTTAATAAAATGAACCAGTCTTGTAACACTGAAACAAACATCTGCTTTTGTTCACCCTTAAAAAATACAGCACGTCTAACCAATAATGTCTATATATAAAAGGAAAGAATGAATATTGTGTGAAAATATAAAATAAAACCAGCCTTTACTAGTAAAGTGGAAATCACACCTTTGCATTTACAACGAGAAGCTGAAAATAACCAAAAGACATGAATTCATCCTTTACTTCACTCTAAATTATTCTGATTGCTGTAACATAATTCAAGATTGCTCAAATCAAATTGATAAATAAACATCTGTGAACTTTTGGACCCTTGCAATGTAGTACAAAATGGCAATCATACAAGAAGGTAAGCTGATTTGCACATATACACCAGTCCTGTCAGGCTATTGCCTGGATGTGAAACAGTTTTATATTCAAGTTGACCTCCCTCTTCGAGAGGGCTGCAGGCTTCTTCTGTACCATATTGTCAGTAGATTTCCAAGTAGGATATTTTGCATTGCTCCTTCCTGTATTAGATTCATTAAATCCTTCCTTTCCTTGAGGTTGGCTGGCATGCCCTTGTAGTTCCTCTTCAGTTGTCCTTCATTGTTGAGGAAAATCAGCTTCAGAGGAGCGGAACTTAGCCACTGTGAACATGGGATTTTCAAAATCTGTTCACAAAGCGAGCTAAGTCCTGCACCTCACAAAACTCAGCTGCCCCGTCACTCGAACCAGATGTCCTTTATTTTTCACGAGGATTTCAGCATCTCCTCCTCCCCTGATGTTTTTCTGAGGTTTTTTTTTTATTATACTTAAAAATGTCGCAGATGCAGATTTATTCAGTGTCACAAAACCTTTCAGGCTGGAAGCACAAAATTGCATGAGTGAAAATTATAGACCATTCATGGGTCAGCACACAATACTTAAAAACTTGGGGAGTCTAGTTAAAAATGTGTGGCAACACCTTACTAAGCAATGCTACTTCACCATGCTGAATGGCTTATTTATGTGAAGCTATAACCATTTTATAAGCTACAGTAAATAAAATGCTCTATTATGAGGCACTGTTTTGAAATTCTGTATTCAAGATTTTCGTAGATGTTGCTAATACAATGGATACGTTTCTTAATATATGTACTATAATACTAGTATCTGTTCAGATCAAAAGTCAGTAAACAAGGACTCAGATATGAAAGACTGTAAAAATAAAGTGTATAAACTAAAACTGACATTGAAAAGCCAAAACAGACCACCCAGTATAGTACTAGTAAAGTCGTTTTTAAGTGACTATAGCATTTTTTAATTGACTGTTCAGTGTGCGTATAATCTGCGTCTTGAAAAGTTTTTTTCTTTTTCAAGTATCGTCCTTATGGTTGTAGAGAATAGGAATCATTATACAAGAAGTCTATATTATGGAATAATCTGATCAATGCAGCCCTGAAGCATCTATAAAATAATATCGAATACTCAACAATTGTACATTTATTCATATTTTTGCATAAATCTGTACTGCAGGGAAAATGGCCACTTCCGTAAAATGAAAATCATTTTAAGTAAAAGCAGCTGTGTCAGAGGTCGGAAGTATGAGCACAGATTTTAAAATGCAGTGATTTGTGTGTGTGGCTTTTTTGTATATTTCTTGGCCTATGGAGCAAACATGTCAGGGATGGGCAACCTACCATATCATTCTTAAAATTTATGGTTTCTTTGAAATAAAACAGAAAATGTTAACCAGGGCAGAAATGAAAGAATCAAACAGAGAGCTGTAATTAAGTCATGCTAATGTTTTCACTTAAAAACCTCACAATAGAGGGAGAAATCGATGGAGACCTGGTAATTTGCTGGACGCAGAGTCCATCTGCACAACCCATTTTCCACTGGTATTCATAATCACATTTTCACGTCAAAAGAAAGACAAACCCCACCATATGACTCATGCTGGATATGGGTTTATTGTGTAATTTCCCCTTTCTATAGTTTCAGGGTGGCGTACATGGTAGACAATCCTTTTCTAAACTAAGGCTGGGGTGCTGTCCAAACTCCAAATTTTAAATATGTCTCAAATCGCCAAGTATTTCTTTTACATACCCACCCAATGTGGAACTGCCAGATCTGTCTTTACGTCTCACCCATCAAGCCATTCACCAGTCTAAGATATTATAACTTCCACAGTGGCGTATAGGAGGTTGAGCACCACATGGAGGAGAGGAGCATCCCTCACTGACGTCACCACAAGACAGTAGGACACCCAGGACAACAAAGACATTGTACAGCAGGAGTTTCCAAGGGAGTCCTGACCAGATGTCCCAGAACCCCTTGCAATGGGGTGGAGCCAAATGCGGGAAAGGATACTTGGCCACTGGCCAAAGTTCTCAATCGAACTCACAGCTTCTTGATCCTAAAGCTCAACCCTAGAGAGAGTGCCTGCACTGGTTGAGCCACTCAGAAGCCTGACAGGCCACAATTTTTAAAGCAGATTAAATTACTTCAAATTGCTTAGTTTGTGTAATGTACACAGCCATGCTAAGAAAGCACACTAGACTAAAATCCCTTTATCCTCTAATAGATGGTAGGGTATGGTATTCTAGTTTTATCACAAAGAATAAGTCATTATTAGAAATGGTTGCAACAAAAGGATTTTGCAAGTGCAAGGAAAAGAAAACACAAATCCTGGTCTGAACATGACAGGACTGTGAATGGAACTGAGAGTACTTTTGTATAACTTTATATTACTAACCACTATTTTGTCTGAAGCAATGTTATTACAGCAATTTAACACAGTTCACTGCAGATTAACTGCTGTTATTTCTTAGACATGAACAGGTGAGTAAAAGGAAAAAAATGACTGCCAGGAGCTTTATTTGCTTTTGAGCTGTAACTGACGTTTGATCCATAGCTTGTTGCTGCTTCCTGTATGAACATTCCAAAACAAAACCTTATGAAAAAGTGGAAAATGTCTATAGTGACAAGATTTGTCAAGCACGGGAAGTTGTTTTTCCAAAGCATTTATAAAGCCTTTCAATGATGTAGTGGACTCTTTACACAAGAGACAGCTCAAACAGTTTCCTGAGAAGGTAAAATCTTCAATGATGTGTAGTCCATGTGCTTTAATATCTAAATCTGCAGGTTATATATACTGATAACTCTTTGGCTCTGTATTGAGCTTTTACAGAACATATTTTACAATGCAATTAACTGATGAAGTATACATTTTGCTTATATTATTCATAAACAATTGTTAGAAATTTAACTCAAGATAAAAAGTAATACAAATGTTAATAGGTAACATCCTATAGCAATGCCCATATTGTCTGAAGTGCTTGATATAACCATAAAACAAGTTTTAATAAATAAAAATGATTACACTAAATGACAGCTGACCAATTCAGAATTGACAACTGATAATTATTTTTTGTCACATATCACAGAAAGAAGGGAGCCAAAAAGAAATTAAAATTGTAAGAATTTGGAACTATTTACAGCACTGTTGACCTATCCTTTAAAGGGGAACGAGTAAGAGGAGGACAAATCCTTAACTCTGACACATTTAACACATAAACACTAGCTTGTTCCGGAGAGAAGAAAAAAGTATAAATTGTTGGATAGTCAACTGAGCAAGGGAATTCTGGAAATGAAAATATGAGGGCTGCCTCCTTACAGCACAAAGGGCATTGAAGTCTGGCTTGCAGCTGGTTGGAAATCCCTGGCAATGTGATTTTATTACATAAAACCAAATCACTCTGCCAGGAATCCCTCCAACTTCAGCAAGTGCGTGTCTTGACAGATATCTGCGTGGTGCCGAATGGAACTCACACACTAGGAGAAGGCTTGTTTCATCCCATTCATCATTTTATAATTTAGGTGCAGAGAGCCCACAGAATACATTAAGTTCAAAACATGAAAAAGAATGTGTATCTTAAAAGGACCACACAATGTTTATAAAACAATAACACACAGCTCACATCTCTTTGTTTAGATGACCTTTCATTTTTCTTCCATTTTGGCTGGTACTCAATTTACACTCCAAAATACTCTCATTTATCCGCAATCCATTCACTGCTTGCTTTTCATAACAGAAACTTGGAAACATAAAGCCTTTACTATGTTTATTTTTTTTACATTATGTGAGGTTCTTTTCTCAAAAGAAGAAAGTATTTCACATTAGAATAATTCTAAATAATGAAGAATGTACTTCTTCTTAATATACAAAGCCTTAGAGTGTTTATATAAATGTAGCAATTCACCCAGAAGTACTGCACATATTTAATAAATTCATAAACAAGACTTACCTCACTAACCCAATAATGAGCTGATTCTAATTTTTCCAAGTTAACTAATAGATATTTAATTGGACTAACATAGCCATAGTGTTTTATTGGTAAGGACATAATTTATGAGTTAAAGGTTTGAATTGATGTCTATTTATTTTTGTACTCCTGCAGCAAAATAACTATAAAGGGTTAACCGTAGCACCTTGAAAGGCTAATAGCTAACATCCCCCTCTGCTTCCTCTAAGGTAATTAAAAGTTTAGGATAGGGATTGTCCACTTTCAGGGAGTGTTTCTTGGCAATTGCTCCCAGCCCATCTATCAACTTTATTAGCTGTGGGGGAAATGGGCTCAGTGCTCATTACACAGTGACGACCCTGATCAGAGAATTTCTGTAAAAACAGGGCAGGCTTCAGTCTGCACCATATGCAAATTGATGTTTTCCCATGAAGTTCCATTTGTTCTCCTAGACCTGTGAAAGCTGTCTGAATGATGCACTCACCTATTCTCCTCTATTTTAAACAATTCAATAGAGAAAAAGAAAAGCCTGCATTGGTCAGGATACTAGAGGCCCTTCCAGCTAGGCTGCTAATGAATACAGAGGCTTCCCCTGTGTATTTATCCATTGCAACTCTGTTTAAGGGAATGACAGGATTTAAGGCGCACTAGCTTTGAAGTTCTAGCATGACTGTAGATACATTAAGATCAAGAAATTAGTCTGTTGGTGTTTTTGGTCTTTACCGAAACTGGACATGAAAAACCTGCTTTTACAGCTGAAAGATAAGGTTTTAGCTTGAATGGTCCGCGATCCTTTTTCTACATATGCGTATTCTAGACTAAGGAAGCACTAAGAGATTTATACTTTGGTGATTAAGGGTTTACAGGTGATGACAGCAAATATGGGTGACTGTGTCAGTACAGTTTAGAAAAATAGCCAGATTGTCTTTTATAATTCCTGAGATAAATACACAATTAATTTGTTTATTAGTTTTTCCTCCTCTGCCTTTTTATCGTGGGCTTCAAAGGATGTTACCTAAGGCCCATAATGTTCTCCATACATTAGTGGATTACATTTTCCTGTATAAATCACTGGTCCATATAAACAAAAATAGAAAGGGCAACTTGAGTCCCTAAGGATATCTCCAGATAGTGACCTACCATATTATTATGATCATGTAAAGACAATTAGACCATATCACATTATTGAACTTTCTCAGCAAATGCATTTTAAGTTAAATAGTGTGTGTGCCACAACTAGGAACGTCCTTCACTTAGAAATAATACATCTACCATGCAACACATAATGTACTTTTACCACTCACACGGATTGTCTATGGGAATGCAGAGCTAACATTGTTGTTGTCTTAATGCACAGATCCCTGTTATTAACATGATTATATGTACTGCAGAGCTATAAATATAACTATATTCTGTACCTTTTGTATATAAAAAATTAACAAAATAATTTTGATGAACCAAATAATTTACATTATCCCGGCGTTACATTATGTGAAAATAATTCTGTGTGATTGCATGCCTTTTCCTACTGTATGGGCTTATTATGTCTGTGATTTACAGTCTGCAGATTCCTTCGGATATAAACTGGCAATAATTCTCCAGAATTCTATGTTGCTTTAGGGAAGAATAAAGTTATGAGCCATCATCTGGGAGGGTTTTTGAACCCATTATAAAGGATTCCAGAAGTTTAACAGGCCTTAAAATGATACACTGAATGTGGCTTTCGTGACAACAAGAACCTCGGAAAGCACATCAGCATATCTGAATGAATTGTCTGATTAATGGATTATCTTGTTTGAAATAAACTAAACCTCACGTCTTATATTCCTTTTATCTTTAAGATTACATCAAAGGATCAGATTTCTAAGATTATAATGGAGATGTTGTGCATGTATAATGCAGGAAATTCTACCACATTTTGAATTTTAAATCAGAAAGCTGCTTATCCATGGAAGGGACTCACCTCATCAACCTGGAGTTTATTCTGGAAGTATTGGGCACACTGGTGTAACAAGAGCACACGATTGTCTGTTTAGTAACGTCAATCAAGCCTAGCTAGCCAGCTTTTTTCATGTGGGAGGAAACTGGGGCACCTGGTGAAAAGCCACACGGAACATGATGGGACATGTAAACTCCACGCAGAAGGTGCTCCAATCCAGGATCCAAGGTTGGAGATAACATCCCTAATTGTCATGCCACTGTGACACTCACATGAACCTAGGGACTCATCATACAGATTTTATCTCAGATTTGTAAAACAAATCAATACAGAACTGTCCACCTACCAGAGATGGTACTGCTTGTGACCAAAACTTCCAAGCAGGCTTCCAAGGATCCTAAAAAAGAAATAACCATAGTTTCTGTTCAGGTGGCACACTGGGAAGCAATGGCGAAGTAGTCCAGGCACTGAGGTTTCTATTTCTTTTGACCCTTTCTCACCTCCCCAAACCCATTTTCACCTTCTCTTTCAGAAATTGTCCATTAATAAATGCATATGTACGTCTTTGACTAGTGTTCTATCCACAATGTAGCTCTGCCTTACTCCCTATGCTTTTCAGACAGGCTCTGCAGCTCCTTGGCAGGAATAATCAGCTTCTGGTCGTAACAGATAGATAAAGAGGCCTTTAGGGATCATTTTCCACATGATAACAAGTGTAAAATACAGAATATACCTCAAAGAGTCCTTATTATTGAACTAATTTGACCCAAAATTATGAGCGTGCAATTTTACTAAGCAGACATCCAGGAAATACTACTAATAATAATATGAACAACATTTGTTATGCCCCAAAGTCTTTAAAGCTGTGTAAGAGACTAGTTCTTCTCCTGTGACTAGCAAGTTAAGACTTTCTTCAGGATACTGCAAAGTGAAGGGTTGTTGTGGATATAAAGAATTCATGTCTTCTGAGTTACTTCTTCATAAAACACTTTTATTTTACCTTTTCTCATACCTTACCTTTCTCATACTTGTCAATTTGTATTTATGGCCTTCTTTGGTGCAGCTGCTTGCTTACAATGTAAATGGAGCAGTAACTCATAAAATAATAAGGTGAAGTGGCTACTGGCTGAATACCTGACATACCTACAGTAGTACTGAAATGTTAGCCCTATGTGTCTTTGACCTGCCTAACATCTTGCTAACCCATTCCTGTAACTTTAATATCATATGCCTCTCTTTTAAATAGAATAAAAGGAATAAACTATCAAATGAGATTTAAGATGTCTCTAAAGCAACTTCTGCTCCTCTGTTTTCAATGCATGTATAAAATGTAAAGGTATGAACCAAGGTGGACACAGTGAAGGGTTAGAAAAAAGATTTAATTTTAGATGTATTCTTTTACTTAAGTCATCTTATTTACTGGGAGGTCAAACTGGCAGAATACATTTTTCTCAGGTGCATAATGCTTTAACTGTGTCTTGTAAGAACATTAATAAAGTTTTAAACATATAGGTTTGCTATTATAAATTTACAGCGATGTACCCTAATGAGGTAATGATTATGTACAATCCCCTATAATGGCCTCCAGACTTATAAAAATTGAGGAGAACTGGAATTCCATTCTTATATAATGGAAATTTAAAGGCATATAATTAATTAAGAAGCTATCTGAATTTTTAATTTATTTTATTCACCTATTTTTTTAACAGATTTTCATTATGTTAACATAATGTACCAGGTCAAGAATGACATGCTTTCTTCTTACTAGAAACAGAGCTGTCAATCTGGTTATTCATTAAGAAGCTATCTGAATTTTAAATGTATTTTAATCACCTCTTTTACCCATTTTTCCTTCTATTACCATAAAGTACCAGGTCAAGAATTAGATGCTTTTTTGTAACCATCATGTTATGTTATTAGTAGAAGAATGAACCAAGGTTACTTATTTTTGGCTAAAAGGTCACGGAAATATCTCAGTTGCTCTGTTAACCTTTTTGCTAGATCTCCTTTATAAGCAATATTAAGTTGGTCATCACAGCCCCTTCACAATAATGTCACTGCTTTTGACCTTTGCTTCACATGCATTGCACATGAACTATTACACCTGTTCCGATTCAGCTGTATTCACTCATAGTGCTCTGACCCACATCTAATATTGCACCACAAAGGTGAATCATGTCGTGTGGTAAAACAAAATTCATCAGCTACAATGCTCAGCGAAATCGGATCTACAGGACCACCTGCCTGGAATGTGGTTTTATTTATTTTTTTACTTTTTGAGGTCGTTTAAAAGCCTTTTAAAGCCTTTGGAGCTGGAATTGTTATAGTAGTACAGTCCTTTGTCCTTTAAAGGCATATATTATTCAATGCTTCAGGACAGGAATGCAATATCTATTTAACTGTGTACCTACGATACGCTGTCCTGAAAAAAAAAAGGAACGAGGGCACTGCTTTATCAAAAGAGGCCCAGCTACTAAATCACAATAGTAATAATGTGTCTGTTGTTAACTCAGGTTAGAATGTAGTTTAAAAGAAAATATTCTATACCCATTAGCTTTCCCATCAACTAAGCATGGAATGCACAAGTACATACTGACAACAGATTGGGCAACAGATTTGCTGAATTTTCTTACTGGGTTCACTAAATGCAACCTGAACTAAACGTATTCTTCATGCAATTGCCTGAATAGCAAATCTTTAATAGTGGTAATCTTAAATACTCATTTTTGGTAATGCAAATACATTACTTCATTATTTCCTTATTTTTGGGAATGCTAACCAATGTTCTGAATTATACCAACTGAATTGAACAGAAGAAAACATAATCACCTAAACAGTTACACTTTAAATAAGAGCAGATTTACTTTGAAGTATTCATTTCCCCGATTTCATTATTCACTAATTGGTCTTTAAACATGTCTAGAGCTGTACTGGTGTTTTTCAGATTTTTGTCGTGTGAGTTTAATCGTCTGAGCTCTGCACTTTGTCCCCATGCTCACATATAACAATCTTAATCCTGAACATTTTTTCAATAAAGAACACTGCTCTTTATTGTTGACATTAAATGAACAATTCCTGTTTTTGTATAACTGGTCTGCCAGGCACCTCTGCCTAAAAAATAAATTGTTAAGACAGTGATTCTCTCTAAATTATTTTGGCCAGTAAGCAACATACCAAGGCACATATGTCAATCTAGGTATGGAAATGTTTTAGTTCATCTCCATCCTGGTGGAAAAACTTCAATCGGCAAAGGGACCACTGCACTCAGGGTAAAAGTGGATTTCCTAAAACTAATATGAAAGAAAGTTTCAGTCTGTTAGTTGGTACAGAGTACCAGCTGGAGAGGTAAGATGATTGACAAAGTGGATGAAGATCTGACACAGACTGAGTTGGTTAATACCAGCTTAGCAGCCTAGAGTGATAAGTGTGAATCAGGAAACAGCAATTCAATACGGTCTGCCTTCATCACGTATCACAAACGCATTCACCAGATTTGTCACCTACAAATTAAAGCGTCCACAAACCCTGCCACTTTTTTGTAATAGATAAAGCCTCACTTCACCGCTGTTTCAATTTCAATAGTTCCTTGTGTGCTCATGAAACGTCTCAAATAGCATAGTTACAGCATAATAGACAGTTAGGTACAGTAAGACTTACCTAACCGCCTAGAGTAATCCAGGGCTTCTGAGCACTATATCCCACAACATTTAAAATTAGCACTAACCACTCCATTTCAGTAAATCCCTTTTAATTTTTAATACATTGTGAAATATAAAAACATTTTTATTATTCATTATTAATGTATTCAGCTGATACTTTTTTCCAAAGCAATTTACTTTTGTTCCCATTTATATAGCTAGGCATTATTTACTGGAATAGTCTAAGTGATCTACCTTGCTCAAGGATATAATAGCAGAACCCCACCCAGGATCTGGGCCTTTCCAATTGTTACTTTACAATTATGAAGCTAGAGCCCTAATAACTAGCATGAAGCACAGCTGTCATCAAAGTTGGTAAGTACATCAAACAATTCTTATATACCATGCATATTGAGAGAGAACAGAGGTTTCAAAGTACTGCACACAGCATCCAGGATGATAGCGATTAAGAACTTAATAGAGCGCACTTTGCTCGAAAAGGCAACCTCCGAAATGCAATATTCTGTAGCTCAGTCAAATCCTAACAAAGCTGAAATGAGCAGGCAAACAGAAAAGGGATGACGTACTTAATAACGCGGCATTACCTCCCCTGGCTGAGGAAAGGACAGGACTTGCTGAAGATCAGCGCAGTCTCCACCCCCCTTCACTTACAAGGAATGAACCAGAAAGGCAGTTGCAAGGGTGGAGCTGGGGTGGACAATGGGAGTTTTGTGCAGCCAGGGAGTATTTATACATGGGGGAGCTGAGGTGCAATTTTACAACATGCCCATCTTCCTAATGTGTGGTAATTTGCAGCATTAGCAAATGGTACAATATATTAAAAACAATTCTCGAGGAATGACAGCAGCCAAAAGCTTGGGAGAAATTAGAAGCGTTTCTTGAGATGTGGAGATTTGGCGTAACCCGCTTGGCTGAGGGCCAACCTCCCGGCCATTGGACGGGGAGGATAGGACCCCCCCAAGCGACCCACTGGGCAGCTGCAGAGGTGGAGAGGGGGTGGAGGAGGGATGCAGAAAATGAACGAGGAAGAGGAGAGGGTGACGTTTGATATACTGTATATGGAGACAGGTTGCTTACGTCAGGATTAGTGAGAATTGCAGCAGCTGTGTCGAATGAGCTCGACTGCTTTCATTCCTCCTGAACCTTAATTAAAAACTCCATTAATGAGGAAATAGGGGTGTCAGCATTGATATTAAAACATTTTATGCCACAGTGTTCATTAGGCCTGTAAGACACGCTTTGAATAGAAAATCTGAACATTTTCTATGAAACGTTTCCTGTTTCAATATATATCAAATGTATCAAATGATAAATATCAGTATCAATATAAAAGAGATTCAAATAAAAGTTTAGATGAAATAAGCAATGAAAATATGGTGCCCACTAAGGATTTATTTTTGGATAATACGCACACATTGAAACGGGGACTGCTAATAAACCCTTATTCATGCTTCATTACAGTAAAGACATTTTGCCACTCTGAACATTGGGTAAAACCGCTTCCTATAAAACTGAAATGGGAATGTAATCAAACCTCTGGGATTTGTAAATAGCTAACCAAGCATTAATTACTGGAACACATCCTTAAGCCAATAATCTTCTATTTCTTTAAGTCAGCACAGAAGTGTCAGTTTTCCAGAAGGACAATACTATATAAGACCACACTACGAAACAATGTCAGGGTCTTGCTGTGACCAGCTTTTCATCCTGACCTGAGTCAACAGAACATCTGTGGGACCAACTCACCAATGCCCTCAACAGGAGAACCCTTGCCCGACTGCAGGTGCACAGGAAGACTGGTTAAGCATCCCACAATGTACTCAGAGGCTGAGACTGAATACATAAAGCCTGTTTCCGGATTGTTTTAATGCTCAAGCAGGTCATGCCTGATGCCCGCTCTGTTTTCATTTCTACAGTGAGCTATGTCTCACAACGAGAACCCATTTTCTACACATTTTCTGTGATTTTGTTTGAGACCTGCTACGTCTCTAAGATATTTGATTATATCCCTTCAACCTGAGTGCAGCTTTTCTTTTGCACATCCTTGTTTTGAGATGGCATTTCCTTACTATGTGAAAGACAGCAAGAGATAAGGTATCAGGAAGAGTTAATATGATTTTTCTAAGTTTATGAAGGACTGTGGTACTGTATTTTATTTGTTACTTTAAAAACAAAGTTATACGTACATATGCAAGGATGCAATTATGTTATACTTACAGCTTATGGATTCAGATTTCAGTTATCTTGATCTCTAACTGAAGCTCATTCTTTTGCCAGATGTAGTCATAACTGAAAGGATCAAGACTAAATGTACAGATAAGTCCAATGGAAGGCTTATCCAGACCAGCTTCTGTTTGACGCTTACACCTTCCATAGAGTCCACCCAATAGTTAAGCACGTCTTGAAGGAGTCAGTCAAAGTTGCTTTTGAATGATCATCCTGGCATGGTCTATATTTGCCTGCAGATAGAACACATGAAACAATTATTAAACTGAGGTCAAATACTTGTGCCAGATATTTGTGCCAGATATTTTAACAATGCCTCTTAGGCACCAAATGCCTCACAGCCTTTTCGCATGAGGTGCTCAGTGAAGAATCAAAATACTGTTTAAATGCGTTTACACCACAACATGGAACTAAGAAACTATATTTCACATCTTATAACTAGAATAAGCAGAAACAGGAGAATAAGCGAAAAACATAACAATTTGATTCTTTAGAATAAAACAAATAGAAAAGCCCAAAATCTCACTAAATCTAGGAATGTACTAAATGAAATGGAAATGAATATCATTGAGCATTAATTCTTCAATTAATTATGAGGAAAAGCATTGAATTTTGTATCACGTTTTTTACGTAAACTGTGAATGGCACATAGTTTGTGCAGAGTTCACATTTGGGTTTTCAATATTACCCTGGGATATAAGATCAAAGTTATTTTTTGTGCTGCCGGGGGTTATGGAAAATATGGGGGATTGTTAGCACTACTTTGCCAAAAACGTCTCCATGTGACGTTAGTGTTAGTGAGGATGGAAGAAGACCTGACCAGCTGGTCAGAGCACAAGCAAGACCACCTAGTCTAACAAGACACAATACTTAGAACAGCTTGTTAAAAAGTGGAAGATGAGGTGTTTCTGTATAACAGAAATCCAGGATGTTGCTAGAAAAAAACAAGAATGCATGAAAACAGAGGAATCTCTATTATCCTATGTTGCAAGTGAAGTTGAAGAACTGTCCTTTTTCCCTGCCAGAATCTCTGTTTACACGCAAAAAAAGAAAAGTGTGGAGTCCAAATATCTTTCTTTAAGTCCATTTTTTGTCAGTTGTTCATCAGCACAGCCCACACCTACTCATATTTTCAGAGGAGACTATAAATCTTTTTGTCTGAAACTTGCTTATGGCAGTCATTTGCAATTTCTGGGATATTTTGAGCCCAAATGTACCTACTCGAGACTTAGTATTAATTAGAGGCAAATCAGAGGGGTCACAAAGGGTGTTTTGGTCCACTCAAGCTCAAACAGTCCCCAGTTGTGTTATCGTCTATGGAATTCTGGTTGCAATCAGCGAAGGACAAAGCTCAGATTCAAACTTGGACTGACAATGTTGGGATCGGGGGCTGAACCTGCACTCTAAATAACTGCTTCTGCTGATTGAGCTGTTAGAAAACCAAGAGAGTATTTTTCACAGAAAAGTGCAGTGTGTCTCAGTTTTGATGGGACTGTAACATACCACTAAATGAAAATAGAGAGTTTTGATTGGAAACAGAAAAAAAGCAGACCAACAGACATGTCAAGTGGGGAGCTGCTGTCTGTGTGTATTGGCTGCGAAGGAGCAAGTAAAGGTCAATTCTGTGCCGCCTTCAAGTATTGAGGCGACACCCAAAGTAGGCTCAATAGCCGAAAGATTTAAATGAAAATCGTTTGTAGATTATTCCATTCTCTTTGGTAAAGTGTTTTGTTTTCTCCTCAACTGACAACACAATAGTCCAAATCTTGCCTTGTAACATCAGAACATTAGCAGACTCCTCCGAGACTGGTCGCAGCTACCTCAGTTTCCCACACATAAATGAAGGTGGACAGAATTCAGTGACTTTATGAGGCTTGGAAAAATGCAATAAAATGCTTTTCTCTGAATGCACCCATCTGTTGGAATTTAGTGGACTTCCTGTAAACAAGCCTAAGAGAACAAACCCCACACACCAGGTTGCTGCATAAAATTGTCCTTTCATCTTTTCTTCTTTCTTTTTTTTAAAAAAAGCTGCTTCCATCTAGCATGGCTGAAAGCCCCAGAAGTGAACATTTTTAGCTCAAGAAAGGGAGCACTGTGGCCCTTATCTCGCATCGCGTCCGTAGATGGCACGAATAGTTACATAAAAAATAATCAAGAAAACACCATACCAGGGCAAGAAAAATTATGAATTCACGCAATCTTTGAAACGTTTTTTTGCCTCTCCAACGGCTGCTTTTAATGGGAATGGAAATTTGATATTTTTTTTAACTGAGGACATAGAATTTATAGCAGATTTTTGGATTGTTTGTGCTTTGTTTGTTTTTCATTCTAGCTACTGGGATGAAGTTAGCAGTAACATGTCCAATGTATGAAGTTCTTTTTATGGCTTCTCACACTATCTTTCTCAAAGTAATTATTTATTATAATTATGAATTGCGTGAGTAAAGTATAAGTGTTCGCAAAATATTGTTGTAGACAGATCATACGGCAACAAATCCTCTCCCTGTACAACTATCCAAATGATGAAGCATTTCTGTATCAAATGTAATCTGTAAATCGCCAGCATAATACTTTTTTGAAAGAAAGAACAGCATAGCTAAATGTGAATCCAGAAACAACTGAGAAAACATATGTTAAGTTGTAAGAGTTGAAAAAAATGTGTCATCTTGGAATTATTACATTTTTTTAAAGAGTGTCGTGACTGAATACAGTTTCCTGGAAACATAGCATATTCTGGGTTCTGGATTGTTAATTTGGCAAGAAAGAACAAAAAAAATCAATTAACATGTGAAACAAATGTTACAACATGAAGCCACGTCTACTGGTGTCTGATATTGACATCTTAGACAGCTAGTTGATCTAGACAAAAAAAAAACCCAGTAAATTAACAAAATAAAGTAGGCTACACAAGCAAAATAATCTCTTAGCAGATATTTAGATTGTTGGAATCTCTGCAGTTGAAATTTGAAATTCAGAATGTGACAAAGTAATACAATCTTGAGTTTTCTTTGAGCTTTCCTGATTACAAATACAATTTAATGTTTTTTTCAGTATATCTAAATTATACAATGCACAGAATCCATTAGTGATTAAATAGCAGTAACTCTTAGAGTGAAAAAGCTTGACACTACAAAACTATGGACCTACCACATGATGATTATTAATTATGATTCAGGGACATTTTTAAAAAAGTAAAAGGGTTCTCATGCTTTATCTTGTATTGTCAGGTAATTCTCAATAGCAACATTGGATGACATTTCTCCTTACAGCAGCAGTTAAGATTTTGCAGACTCAGGTTAAATCATCACAAGGCAAAGTACTAATGTAAGGCCATTTTGTAGATTTGAACTACATTTTCGTCTAGATAATCTGTATTATAGTTCATAATATTTTGAAGGATTTGTATTTCTACAAAACAACGTCTTTTAAAATTTGTTCACGGAAGACAGAATAATGCGCTGTAGATTTACAGCGTAAAATATTCCGCAGGGTTAACAGCTGTGAGGAAAATATCAAACTCTTAATGGCTGCTCTCATTTTCAGATGCTGAAACTTGTGTCAGAGCCAAACTTCAGACTTGCCGGGCCCTGTCTGTCACTCTCATCTTGCTCCTATTTTTTATGAAAGGGTGTCATTGGATATTTATAGTGTAGAAAAGAAAAGACTGTATCCAAAAGAACTCTGACACCTATTTTCTGACCCAGAGGGAAAAATGTCAGATAATTTTCCATCCAGCACTACCTGACCTACCAGTAACAACGCTTAGATTTGCTTACCTTTAAAAATGGCTGTACTTTTAACAGTGCCACACAAGAACTGTGGGTATTATCACCTAGAGTCTTAGGCCCCAACTGAATCAAAATGTCGGCTCACCTGCCAATCTCAAATTACAAAACCATTACTTGACAGTGGTTTTTGTTTGCTTGAGGCTTGCTGCTTGTGTTTAGTGGATTACCGCCATGAACTATTGTCTTTTGCGAATAGTAGGTGGGTTGACGTCTTGATTTAATCTTTAATGTTGAATTAAATCCGTTTTGGAACACAATTTACAAAACTGTGAGGTGGGTGAATTCTGACATTAATGAGTAAGAGTGATTTGGGCTCCAAAGAAAACAAGGTTAATTGCTTTCTGCTAGTAAAATAACACACCTGAAGTTGCTAAAACAACAACCCTGCCCAGTGGTTATGTTAATGTTGATAAACCTTTAACTGTCACTCACACACATTTTTCTTAGAAAATAACTCAGTCTTTTCCCTGACAAAATGGTGAGAAAATAAGAAATTCATATTTTTCCCTACAACACAGTGCCACCCTAATCTAAAAATCTCTTCATAGTCTGGTTGAGCAGACATAAAAAGTCATAATCAAAACAAGTCTATATTAATTCTACATTTCCAAAGTCAGTAGGTATCCATTAACAATAAAATGCATAAAGAAAACAATACTAAAAAGCAAAAATAAATATTTCACATAGCCTTTTAGTATCAGAGAAGTATTGAGAAGTATATTCTTGGATCTTTTACAATTCATTAAATTGATCCAATAATTATATCCAAAGCTATTAAATCATTCTTCTTGATTGTGGAATAATGTTTTACTGCTATAGAAAAAATATAATGTATGTCTGCACATGTTCTTATTAATTCTGAACTGGTTTACTCTTTCGCCTTCATTAAGTTTAACAGTTCAAAGACGCCTTTCTTTCCATTTCCATGAGTTTGTTTAAAAAATACTGCCTTTTGCCAAACGTTCCATTTTGAGGAAGCAACCCTCCTAAGTGCTTCGTGAATAAGACCCACAGTAACAAATACTCACAGCCAAATAGACTTCTGCTCTCTGCCATAGTGTTTTGCTTAAGGTTTCATTGAGAAGGAAGAGTTTTGTGCATCATTTATGCTTGTTATGATTTGAGTGTATTTTTCCAGGATACAGTAACAGGCTGGTTGTATTGTTTTCCCATCATAAGCTTGCAGCTATGGAGAAAAAGCACTCACAAATACATCAGTGTAACACAATTTAGACATTACACAGAATAATTACATCTAGACACATACGGGAGTATTATTCTTACAGAATAAATGGAGGGTTTAAGTATCCTTTTCTTACTCTGCACTTCCTTGTTTTCCTAAGGAATCAAAGATAAATTAATGGATCACTTTTGTTACCTTCAAATTCTGTATTCCATGAATAATGCATCTGTTATAGCTCCATGTATGCCCAATACCTTAG